CTTGATCTTCGGATTGTGAGTTCAAACCCCACATTCGGTGTAGAGATTACTTAAAAATAAAATCTTTTAAAAAATGATACTTTGAAAATATAGCAACTAAGAAAGTATGAAAAGGAAATCCATCTTGGTGTTCAAAAAATTCTATAAAACTTAAAAAACATTTTTTTCTAAATAGGCTCCATGCCCAACTTGGGGCTTGAACTCACCACCAGACCCTGAGATCAAGAATTGCACATTCCCAACTGAGCCAGCCAGGCACCCTATAAAACTTTTTAAAAATTTTACTGTTATCATAAACTGTTCTAACACTGACTATAAAACCACCAAAGAAAAGATAAATCATTTCATTTTAATATCTTATGAGAAAATGGCACTATTTAGGCAGAGTTACATTTTCCAGTATTCTAGGAATATTTGAAGTACTTTGAAAAATAAAAATCTATTTCTACATATAAAAATTGTCACATTATGTTGATTCTCAAGCATTTTCTGTTAAATTATTTCATCTCAAAATAAACACTCCATATAATTAAGTCATGGCTACTGTGCAGTTTGGCACAAAATGCAATGCTGCATTTACATACATGTAATAACACATTTATCATGATAGCTGGAAAAAACACACATGAAATAAGCACACTAGTGATACTATTAAAATAACCATGCATTATAATATGTACAAATTACAAATTTTATCATTCTAGCCAAACTGTTTCTCAATCTTACCCTATGGCCTAAAAAATATAAAAATAAAAGATAAAAAAAAAAAATGAGTGGGGCGCCTGGGTGGCTCAGTCGGTTAAGCGGCCAACTTCAGCTCAGGTCATGATCTCATGGTCCGTGAGTTCGAGCCCCGCGTCGGGCTCTGTGCTGACAGTTCAGAGCCTAGAGCCCGTTTCAGATTCTGTGTCTCCCTCTCTCTCTGACCCTCCCCTGCTCATGCTCTGTCTCTCTCTGTCTCAAAAATAAATAAATGTTAAAAAATAAAAATTAAAAAAAAATGAGTGGTTCATTTGAGACAAGCAATCAATTAAATTCATTTGTGATAAACGAAGTTCTGAGATATACAATCTTAGTGCTAAATTTAACCAGAAGAAGTTTTCATTGAGTAGTTTGTTATATTACTATGTATTACCTTATCTTAATAGAGTGAAGCTATAATCAAAATGACATGCCATCTACAGTAATAAACTCTTGTGGCTAAGGAACTACATGTGACATGACCAGGCTTCAGGTTCTCTTGTGTAGAATTTCCTTACCATGTTAAAACATCTCTTTGACATACATATATTTACACAGTCAATTCATGGTTTCCATACATAAATACACCTTGTTGAAGCTGGTTTCTGTGAAAATTGTTGTGAAATTCCAATTAAGTGCT